CACTCATGGCTGCTATCCACCTTTCATCTAAGGATGCCTCACTGAATGACTTAGGTTAAGTAGGTTGTGAAAGAGCTCATAAGTAAGCCTGATAAGGGACAGACAAATGTGAATAATGGAGACAATCTGAAATAGGGCAGATGCAACTAGCAGATGGTTTAGGAGCAGTTATATAGGCATCAAACCAACTCGGTGGTTTAGCATTTCTAACTGGTCTGATCTTGGCATGTCTGATAGGTTGGATGTCTTGTGATTGTGTTGAATCACTCACACATGATGGTGTATTGTTTGCAGCTTCTGTGATAACAATAGGATCTTCAACAATGTTGGGGATAAGATTTATAGTGCAGCTAGGCAAATAGTCTATTGATGTGTATAACTGAACAGGTTCATTATGCTCAGCTGGAGCAATAGGACTTAAGTCTGAATTGCATAGCTCAAACATGTCTAGTTCACAAGATACTGCATCTGATTGATATGGAAAAACATGTTCTCTGAATGTAACATCTCTACTTACAAAGAATATCTTCTCATCAACATCATATAATCTGTACCCTTTTTGAACTTCAAAATATCCAAGCAAGACTGACTTTCTAGCCCTTGCTGCAAATTTATCTCCTTTGGGTAACTTAGTTGCATAACACAAGCAACCAAAGACCCTCAAATGATCAATTCTAGGTATTTTCTGGTGTAACATTTCATAAGGTGATTTCCCATTCAACACTTCAGTAGGCAATTTATTGATCAAATACACAGTTGTTCTAACACATTCACCCCAAAAATGAATAGGAAGTGAACTTTGAAATCTCAGTGCCCTGGCTACTTCTAAAATATGCCTGTGTTTCCTCTCTACTACACCATTTTGTTGGGGTGTATAAACACAACTACTTTGATGCACAATACCATGATAAGCTAGTAGATCAATGACTGAGGAATTGAAAAACTCAGTCCCATTATCAGACCTTAAAACTTTCACAGACAATGCAAACTGGTTTTTTTTTAAAGCAATGAAATCCTTGAGCACCACAATGACCTCACTTTTGGAATTAATGAGACATAACCATGTGTATCTACTATAGTCATCAACTATGGTAACAAAGTAGTATTTCTTGTCAAATGTGGGCTTTCTGTAAGACCCCCAAACATCAATATGAACTAATTCAAATGCTTTAAAGGTTTTACTTGTACTAGCTGGAAACTTCATCCTACATTGTTTTGCTATAGGACAGATCTCACAATTAGATTGTACATTCTTATCTGACAGATGTCTCAATGACTGGATGTGTTGCATTACTCCAGTTGAAGCATGCCCCAACCTTAAGTGCCACAGTTTTGTATCTCCACTTCTATTCTCAGCAGCCATAGCATGCACAATTGGCTTTATTTGATTCTTTAATATGTACAATCCTTCCCTTTCTTTACCAATCCCCAATACCTTGCCATTGTAAAGTCCCTGAAATACACAAAAGTCAGGGTAAAAGGAAACTGAACATTTGAGTTCCTTGGTTAGTTTTGAGATTGATAATAGGCTAAACTTAAAATCTGGCACATGTAGAACATTTTTAAGCTCATGTTCGTCTAAGACTTCTGCAACTCCAATGCCCTTGATTTCACATCTTTTCCCTGTTGGTACTTGAACACCATCACTGTTACCATTATGTACTTTTCTACTAGCAACTAGTAAATCTTCATTAGGTGTAATATGATGTGTAGCTCCACTATGAATTATCCACTCACAAGCTTTATTATCTTTAGGATCTAAAGAGGCAATACCTGACATGTTAGCAACACAATCAGATGTTCCTGCTCTGTCCATTCTATTTACCAGGTCTTCATACTGAGATGGTGACATTTGATTCTCAGTGTGTTTTTCCTTTTTGAATTCATCAGCATTCCGAGTGAAATGTGCATTTGGCTTGAAATCAGGCTTAAAATCAGGTTTAAAACCTTCAGTCCCCTTTCTCTTGCTTTGGAAATCTGGTGGATATCCTACCAACCTGTAACAATCTCCCTTGAAATGTCCTTTGAAACCACAATGATCACAAATTGTTCCTGGAGGCACAAATTTATTTGTCCTTGATCTGTACCCTTGAGTTTTTCCAGCTAACAGTGTGAGAGGATCTCTTGTTTTATCTAATACTCCTAAAGTTCTCTGGCTTTCCTCTTGCGCAGCTACTGCATATGCCTCATTAACAGTTACTATTGGCTTTCTAGCCAATATGCTACTTCTGATAGCACCAAAACTTTCATTTAATCCCATTAAGAATTGGAGTAGTCTCTGTGATCTCAGATGCATTACATAAGCAGCAGAATCCTCACATGCACAACCAGGTAAATGAATCATAACATCCATTTCAGCCCACAAATCTCTCAATTTAGAGTAATACGAAGTCACAGAGTCAGTACCTTGTTTGAGAGCTGCAATTTCAGACCACAAATGATAAATTCTGGTAAGATCTGATCTATCAAATCTTTCTTCAAAGTCTCCCCAAACTCTTTTTGCATTCGAAGCGTATATTATTCCTGGTAGCAGCTCACTTGTAACAGTGCTCGCAATCCACGACAACACTATCGCATTACACTTTTCCCATTGCTTTTCTAATACTCCTTTGTAAGCTGTTTTTGCACAGGATCCATCAATGAATCCAAGCTTCCCTTTTCCCCTGAGAGCCAACTTCATCGAACGACTCCACAGAGCATAATTCTCTGGTCCTGTTAATTTGATTGGAACTAAAACGAGTCCAGGAGCATCTGATGCCTGGAGATAGAGCGGATGATTATGATTTAGAGTAGTTACCTCATTTGTTTCCATTGATGTCTGTTCGTTTGTCACCATTGTTGATTGTTGCAGAAGCTTCTTCTCTTCTATTGCTTCACAGCATTCGGTTATCTTCTTCTACGCAGACCAATTCCCTATGATCTGTGCTCTGATACCATGTAAACTTTCATCAATTCAGTTAGGAAATGAAAATATTGACAACATTGAGAGCAATTTTAGAAGAAGAAGAAGAAGAAGAAGAGATCATTTTATTGCATAGCATCAATAGCAAATGTGATGCCTATTTATACAAGTAGACCTGTGAGTTTCTAGAAGAATCTTTTACTGTTACATTGGTTATAACAAACTAACTAATTTGTAACCAACTTAACTCACCACTCATCTAATACATCTACTAACTCACTTTATATTTCAATAAAATGTGATGGAAGAAATGAAGTTTGTAATGGTAATGGAAGAGTTGGTAGCAGTGCTGGTGTCAGTATCGATTCCGATGACAATAATGGTACAATTAAGAAGATGAAAAAAAATAGGAAAAATAAAAAGAGAAAGAAAAAGAAAAGAATACATATATTAACAAAAATATAATTATAAAAATATTTTTTTTGCATTTTTCTCGTTTACTCTCTCAAGGAGAATGTATTACACTTACTTTGTCACCTAACCAGTTATATACTCCCTCCGTTTCACAAAGAATGACCTCCTTTCCTTTTTAGTCAGTTTCAAAAAGAATGACCTCTTTCCTTTTTTGGTAACATTTTACTTTTTGCTTTCCACGTGGCATGTTTAAGATCACAAGATTAAGGGCAATTTTGTACATTTGACATAACTTTAATTTAGGATCACAAGATTCAAAAGTCTTCTTTATTTACTTAAACTCCGTGCCAAGTCAAACCAGGTCATTCTTTGTGAAACGGAGGGAGTAATAATTCTTGTTAAAAATAGTCTAGAAATGTCATAGGACCCCTACAAAGTTGAAGTGTATAACAATAATTTCGTGTATAGTAAGAGTGTGCCTAAAAAGATTCAGAGTAACTCAACTAACAAGTTTTAGTATCACATGTTTACTATTTGGTTACACCATGAGAGGGTGATTATTAATTTTAAAAAAAGGCCACTACTGAGTTGTAATTATCAAAATGGAGGAAAAATTAGTTTGGGCAAATACTGGAGTTGGGAATCGAACCCCGAGTCTCGGCATAAAGGAGAACTTGTGTCCAAATCGATCAATGCAACTGCACATCTTTGAAAGTGAGGTATATATATATAGCTTATATTCAAGAAACATAAATGTCTCATCATATTTTATTTTTTTCTATTTAAAAGTAATTTTATTTTTATTCATGATGGATCGGAGTTATATTTTTATTATAATACCAATAACTTTTATTGATTACTAATATTCTAGGGAGATAAATTTGCATAGTATTATAGTTATATATTTTTAGAAATAATGACTTATTATTATTATTTGAAGGTTAAGATATACTTGTAGAAGTTTTATTTTCTACGAGTCTCATTAATTATTTCAAACTATTGATGTATTTTTATAATTTTGTGTTATTATATTATTTTACTAAATCATAAATTTAAATTTAAATATTCATGGGGCTTACGCTACGCCGTGTGCTAAGTAAAACATCTTGCCTCATACCTCCGCCTTTCAAAACATCATGTATAACTAATACTTGCATTCTATTGTGTATTACTAATGATACTACTGATAATGCAAATGATTTTAATGCATGCATTAGCAAGATTAAAGACTCAAATGTCCCTTAAAATCTTTTTAAGGGAGGATACTTTTAGCTGCAAATATTTCTTTTGGAAATTATACAGTACATATTATTTTGAATATATCAAACAAAGCATACTATATACTTTTATCTTGTGACTCAAGTCAAGTTAGCTAGATCTACATATGGGGCGCCAAAGCAGATCCCTTTTTTTTCTATTGATCAATAAGCAAAAATTCTGTTGTAAGTCTTTCGAACAGACAGAAACATGGATTCAAGTTGAAATCATGTGACATAGTGAAGTACGCACAAAAACAAAAACAAAACGAAAGTTGTTAATCAAACCTATATATACATGATCATCAATTTCAAAAATCTAATATTAGTTAACATCCATTGGTCATAGTCGAAATTCGTCGGAGGGATAAAACCAAAATAAAGAAGAGAAAGAAAGGGAAGCTTTTTCTTTCTTTCAATCCAATATCCTATCCATCACACATCACATCACATCTCATCTGTTCAAAGCCATAGAAAGAATTAATTAAGACCAATAAACATAGAGAGCCACACGATGAACATATTATAAAACTTACTTCAAAATAAAAGCAGTAACAACTATATATGTCTAGGCTTCTAAATGATTTATACCTAGGCTAATTGCTGCTAATTCAAATTTGAAACTGCTAAAAAGTATAGGACACACATTAATAATGTTACGTTACCTAAACATTTCTTGCTTCCGGTGGCATGATGATATTCTGATGGTAATAACTCACCTAATGTCTTGCCAAGTTTTATTTCGTAAAAGTTGGCAAGTTCAAACCTAAAGACCAACAAATCAAGTGTATGATTACATACTAATCAATGAAAATAATGGATATCCCCAACGTAACTTACCAGTAAGCCAAAGACTCAAATGGATGATAAATCTTGTAGAATTCTTGTATTTTCGCTTTTGTTTCCACACTAATTGGTCCCTTTTTACGCTTTCTCATATTAAGTCCATGAAACTGAAATCATGACAAGTAAAATGTAAATATATATAAGAGGACTTAAGAAATACTATTACCTCCATCAGCAAATGATCCATGTGTAATGTTAGTTATTTTTTATGATATGCAGAGCAACAAGTTTGTTACCTCTTTCATATGACGCAACGTTTCAGTATCAATTGGAATATTATGATAGTGTCCAATACACATCATGATAGTATTAGTGGTAAAAGGACCAGCACCATTTATCTTCAACTTAGAGTAGTACCCTTCATCAGCACTATCAAACTTAATTTTTCCATCAACAACTTGTTTAGCCAACTTAATCAAGTCCCCTGCTCTATATCCAAATTTCTTTAGCTCTTCCTCTCTAAAACTTGCTAATTCTCTCGGGCTAGGGAAGTCTCCAATATTTGCTCTCTTTCTTTTCGACATTCTGACTTTTTTCAGTTGTACATCACAAATAGCCTTTGCCCGATCCAAAGATGTCTTCCACCTGATTCATTTCTATATATCTTAGTTTACTTCAAAGTTTGAGTTTTACAAATTGCTTGTATATAATATATGATTAACTTACGGGCAAAAGCGAAGAAGAAGAGACTTGGCCACATCTTCAAATAAGGTTGGTGATCGAAACAACCGACCAAATCCTTTGGCCTCAGCATGTGGATGAAGCTTATGAAAATATGTGACATCTTGTTCATCCTTATCAGAGAGTCTCAGCATTCTCTTCACCTGAGACTATACGTACATAGAAAACAAGTCATCAGGTTCTTCTTTTCTTTTTTTTGTGAGGAGATGGAGACAGAACGATACCTGAATGGCTCCCTCATCCTTAGAGGAAAGAATAGTTGCACCATAAACCGTAATGACAAGATGATCCTCTCCTGGAGGCTGTGAAATAAAAGTGAGAGCTGATCTGATGGAATCATCTAATCGTAGAGGACGAGAAAAGGTTTTAGTAGATGGATCCCAATGGTTGGGAGCCATCATGAAAAAGCCATGGTTGCACACGGCTTTTTCCAAGTTGAATCTTGGAAACTTATCCAAGCTGATAGTGAATTTCCAAGATGGTAATGTTAATGTTGTCATTTATTTCTGCAATCAGAAGTGTGGCCTACAATCTCTAAAAACTTAGTTTTTGCATTTGATAGATATCTTGTTTTATATAGTGGTTTAGATTACTAAAATTAAGCTCAAAATAGTTGCATATACAATATAAATAAAAAGTTTGTCATTGTGTCATTTCTTTCTTTTTTGTAGAAAAAGATGAAGAGACCCTAGTGGCCTAGATTCACTCTATTACACAAGTCACATCACAAAAAATAGTCTATTTTTTTACCAAATATTTTTGACAAGTTATTTTTGGGTAAAGTTTCACCATACGTTTAACCATAGATTTTGGAAAAAGTATTTAACTTTTTTTTAAAAAATAAATAATTTATACCTATAATTTCTAAAAACTATTAAAATGAACATATTCCGTGTAAAAGGAACGAGAGCAGAGAAATGTTTAATTGTTGGAATCACAACAAAGTTTTAAAAAAGAGCATTTCAGCAATGATTTGTATATACCCCAAAGATGGTGGAATAGTGAGTCTTCTCTTTTCACCAACATGTATGCCTATAAGGTTATAGCTTAGCCACGCATTATAGAATGCTTAAGATATAAAGAAAATAGTTTCAGTCCACGAAATGATTACCTTCAATGCCAATGCTCAATCCCTTTAACACTTTTTCGAAACCTGATCAAAGACATCAAAATAAGAATATAAAGGGATAATCAGTTAAGTTAATGGTGGAGCAGAGTAACTTTTATTATCAGGAAAGAGTGAGGAGATCTTTCTAGGAAAACATGGGAAGAACTAAAAAAATCCACGTAAACTGTTCATCCAGACAACTCACAGAGCAGTGATTGTGTTCGAGAGTAGAGAGAGAGAGACCTAGACAAAATTGATGAGGAGCTGCACCAATGGTTGAGCCAACAGTGCATCCTGTATCTCTTAATTTGGCGATGAAATGAATTTTGATCTGGACAAAAGAAAGGATCATTCATCAGCATGACGTTTGCACCATCTGTCTCTGAATTTTCAAATAGAAGCACCTGTTTTCCTGGAGAAGCTACTTTTCTGTCCGCTTTTCCCTTCAACATCACCTCAACAGTCGGTCCATCCGGTAATGTATGTATCTGTGATGATGTGGCACTCTCATTGATATCCTTAGAATTAGCAACTGCGCTCCGATTTTCCATCTCCAGCTGAGATTGTACACTGAGTCACAATGCTTTTCTTGGTTTTCGATCTTCCTTTTTTAATTTTTTCTCTCTCCTGAGAATGACACATTTCACTTACTGATTTGGGACTTGTGTCTGAAGGTTCGCATATTCATTGCGCAAGGGGAAACCAGTTACACAAGAAATTAAATGTAAAAACTAAAAAAGTCATCCATAAATTCAGAAGTAAACAGAAGAAGATAAAAATAGTAATACAAAGATCGTAGTACACTAATGAAAAAAACATAATATGCCATGAAGAATTCCTACCGGCAGACTTGCCTTAAATTGACTTATCCTAGACATCTTGCAAGTCATGTAATACTGTCGAAAAGGAAAACTTGAAAGGGAAACAAAAGGAATAATAAAAAAGCTTACTCTCCAGTGATTGGTTTCGACATCCAATTGTAGCCAGTGGACAGTTGCCCTCGTTCATAGCCTTTGGTGTATCTTCCCGGAGTACGCAATCAGTTACTATATTTATAAGAGAGCCTTCTGAGGATACGACTAAGATTAACCTTTCAATCTCCCACCATGTAAGTTAGGCTTAAAAGGTCTAAGGTGACAGTACACTGTGGATTACTAATATAGTCAATCTTCCAAAGTAACATTGTTTTTGACCATGCGGATATTCCATGTCATATTAACTCAAATCATAGAATTAAAACTCGCCACGCCTAAGTATTCAGAGAACGGCACATATGCATACATTTCTTTAAATGGTGAACAAGAAATATCAATCTAAATAGCAATCCGGTGCACAAAACATCCCACGTTAGCATGGTCTGGGGAAGGTCTACACCACAAGGGGAGTGAGGTGGACAACCTAACCAAATGCAAGCATTAGTGGTTGCTTCCACGGCTTGAACTCGTGAACCTATATGCAGAGGCGGATCCAAGATTTTGAGATTTTGGGTGCCACACTATTTTTTGATTTGTTCTATTTTGAGCTTTGGTTCGGATAATCTGTCTTTTTGATTTATATAGACAAGTCGATCGAACAAAATAATTTGATAATTGTGATATTTTTGGACAAAGCATAGAAGTTCAATAATATTACTAATATCAATAAAAATATTTTATGTATTTATAACTGGCCTTGACAAATTTTAATACTTTGGAGCTATCAACTCAAGGAAGGACATCTAGAACTAAAAGTCACTATAAATGCATATTTAGATGCTCAAAGCAAAAACTTAATAAACTTTATGAACTTAAAAGAGAAAGCAAGGGGTTTGCCTTCTGGGTCGAGCTCGTCGCACCGGGCTTGCCTAGTGCGGGTTACCTCTCATATGTGGTTTGCGAGCTATTGCATAGGAGCGGGGGTTTTACCCTGTGCGCACCCATAGGGTAGCGACTGCAGGTTTCCTCTGTCATAAAAAAAAATAAAAAATAAAAAAAAAAGAGAAAATGGCCAACCTTTTACCGGATTTCCAACTACACACTTATTCTCCGCGGGAGTCCTATTACCCCTAAACTACTTTAAAATGGAATAATAACCCCTTAAGTGTTGAGTTGGCATAGAGAGTGTATTTCACTCTCTTTGAGAGAGTGAGTTGCCTATTTATTTTTTTAATTTTCATTTTTTTATCTAATTTTCTTTTTTCTTTCTCTTTCTTCTTATTTATCTATACAACATTTTTCACCATTATCATTGTTGAAGCTTTTTCAATGGATGTTTGGAATAAAAATTATCAACAACAAATGCGTTTAATGAATAAATAATTTTTCAATAAACTTATTTAGAACATATCTAACAATTTATTTTAAAAAAAAACATACCCATTAATTAATTTTTTTAAAAGTGATGGATTCAAGAGTAATAAAATCAAAGTGAAGTAATTGTATATTTAAAAAATATTTTCAAACGTAATAAAAGAAACTAAAACAAAACAATTTCTTCTACATTTTAAAAGAAGAATCCTACATGTTCTCCTAAAATTCATGAAGAATCAAAATCAAAAACTCAAATTATAAATTAATCATGAAAATTTTAGAGGGAGAAATAATAAAGAATGGGGAAGAGAGAGAGAGGTTTCTCAAATTGGTGTTACAAATTGGTCTTCTCATCCGCGATTATTTTGAGTTGTCGGCGGAATCTTCAAGGGATGAATCAGATCTCGAATGTTCATGACCCATTTAATGTGTATCTGAAATTATCTAAGGAAGAAAATCGAACGAAATGTAAAAATATGTGGAAAATTGTTGAATTAGTTGGATGAAAGATTTGATTAATTAGGACCGCTATCTTCTAGACTCTAGAGATTCAGAGTAGATGAAAAGGTAAGTTGAATTTTCATTTTTATAAAATGTTAGAGATATAGAAATTTATTGAGGTAAAAAAATGGTGTTTAGTATAGTTAGGGTTGAAGAAATGATTGGGGAAGAAAGAAAGAGGAAGGAGGAAAACTTTTTTTTTAAAAAAAATCATTAAATGGTGAAATACACGTGTCAAGTGCGTGTATTTCACCACAAGACAGATGCCTCGTAATGACATAAATGACATTTCAGGGAGGGAATAATTCCACTTTAAAATAGCTCAGGAGGGTGATAGGATCCTTGTGAAATATAAGTGTAGTTGGAAATCCGGTTATAAATTAGGGGCTCATTTGGCCATTTTCTCAACTTAAAAAGCATAAGAAAGAAGTACTAATATAATAATATACAGAACAATCCCAGATAGGTGGTAAATCTAGATTTAGGTTGCTCCTAGGCACGAAGACCGAGATAGTTCTCTCTCCTACTTACTAGGAGGGTAGAACCACCCTTTCCATCTCGACACCGAAAAAGTTGTCTTTCTTCATCCTAGTTACCGCCTTACTAGTGGGCCGATATGAGGAGAGATATTGCAGACTATGTGTCCCGTTGCCTAAGTCGTCCGCAGGTGAAGGCTGAGCATTTGAGACCTGGTGGTGCGTTCCAGAGATTACCCATTTCGAAGTGGAAGTGGGATCGCATCACTAAGGACTTTGTGGCAAATTTGCCTCAGACTTCTAGAGGTGTTTATAACATTTGGGTCATCATTGAACGATTGACCAAGCCAGCACACTTTCTCCATGTTCAGTATTCATTCAGTGCCGAGAAGTTAGCCCATATCTACATTACTACTTATTAGAAGTGAGAGTTGAGGTGTACCAACATTGCACTATTAAATTGTACAAAAGGGATCATGAATTGTACAATATATGTTTGGCCTACTTTATTGTTGAATCAACATGTGGATTGCATGTGTTTCAATATTTTAGATACAAATAATTCCCTACAATTTTCAATGTCTTCACTATTCCAATTCTCTTTTTTATTTTTATTTTACTCCTATTTAGAAATGGGAGTTTGGGAGGACCAACATTGCACTAAAGAGTTGGACTAAAAGCTATAGAAATTGTACATTGAGGCCCACCAAAAAGATGAACTATTCTTTTTTTCTACTTTCCATTCTCCCCTTTTACTCTCTTTAGTTTATCTTTCATCTTAAATTTTTCATACATCTTTAAAATATTTTGAATTATTAATTATTATGAATTATAATGTTTTGATTTTTACGTAGTTTACAAATATATAAATTTCATGTAAAAAAAAATTGAAGATTATCATATGCAAATTTATGGTCAAACTTAAACTATTTGATTCTTGAGA